CTTCGGCGGGGGGTGGGGGGGTGGGGGGGGTGTGCTCCGTGGCAGGGCCTAGGCAGGGCCTGGTCTCAGCTGGCTCCCGCCCGAGCCATGAGGTCTTCCAAAGCATTGTCCTGGTCATTGTTGTGTAATAGCAGAACTTCCTTAATATCTTTCAGTTCAAAGCCCATTTCCTTAAATTTGCTCATTAACTGAAGAAACTCCATCATCTAAGGGAAATAAGAGAATACAGACTAAAGAAAGGGGTCCAGCCACACAGCACAGCTGAATGGAAGAATATGTGTGTAAGGGGGCTGCTTGGGGGAGCGTTCTTTGCCGGATCCTCATGAGCCTCTCTGAGGTCCCCTAGCAAGCAGAGGAGGGCCGTAGAGGAAGCGAGGCCATGGAGGAAGACGGGTTGATGCCATGGCCAATCGTCCATCAGGAGCCATGCCCAGTCCCAAACCTTGCTGACCTTCACTCAGGTCCCACCATCCACATCTGTGTTCCCACCCAGCAGGATACTGAACCCAGAAATGGCTGCTCTCTGGCGAGCAGCCTAGGTGAAGTGACTAGCAATCTCCCCCAACATCCAAAAGTATGGCTTTTTGCCCAGGTCATTTTTCCCGTCCCTTCCCTGGGATTCTAGATAGTCTTCAACCCGATACTTCATCTGAGCCCAACTACCCAAATGCCTGTCTGGACATGGGAGATTCTTGCTTCAACTACCTCTGCCTACAGTCAGTCACTGAAAGGAATAAAGGTTGTAGTCCAGGAGGACCCCCAAGACAGACTACTTTGTCCCTTCTTTCCAGAGGGTTCCCGTGAAGCATGAAGGCTCCTACCTTTTCCTCTGAACACTGCTGCATTTCCAGAGCCTCTTCCACTAAAAGAGGGTCAAAGCCCTTCTCACAGAGCTGTCCATGTGCAAAGAGATAGTCGAGAATCTAAGAAAAGAGAAAGGTTTAAGCAACTATTGCCACTCTTGTCTGTGCTTCCCAAAAGTCTTACACAAACCAACAAGTGTGACATCTGCTCCCCACCCTGGCTATTAGATCCTAGATAGGACTTGATTTTGTACCTTGAATTGTGTCCAACACAGCAGTACCTCAGTGACTATTTGCTGATAGGTACACCCTTCTAAACAGGCATAGCCATTTTTCAAAGGAGTTTCTGTCACAGCTGACTCACATCTCCCAGCTGATGTCAATTCCACAGCCTAGGCAGGATACTCATTTTTTTTAAACGGTGATCTTTCTTTTTTCTAAATTTATTTATTTATTTATTATTTATTTATTTATTTATTTATTTTATTATTATTATTAGCATCATTATCATCATTGGCTGCATTGGGTCTTCACTGCTGCGCACAGGCTTTCTCCCTAGTTGTGGTGTGCGGGCTTCTCACTGCAGTGGCTTCTTGTCACAGAGCACGAGCTCTAGGCACATGGGCTTCAGTAGTTGTGGCACGTGGGCTCAGTAGTCATGGCTCGTGGGCTGTACAGCACAGGCTCAGTAGTTGTGGCACACGGGCTTAGTTGCTCCGCGGCATGTGGGATCTTCCCGGACCAGGGCTCGAACCCGTGTCCCCTGCACTGGCAGGTGGATTCTTAACCACTGTGCCACCAGGGAAGTCCCAAGATATTCTTCTAAAAAACCACCCAAGTCAGAAAGTGCCCCCAAGGTTTAGGACTCCAGTACCCTATTTTGGAACTCCCTGGGCAGTCCTGACAGGATAAACATTTCTGGAAGAAGACATCTGACCATACCTCAAGCCTAGAACGCTAATGCTGCCTCAGGAGAGGCAGAGAAGGGGATAACTGGGTAACAGTCAACAACTCCAAAGCTCTCCTTCAGCCTAGGTCCCAGAGCAGCCCCCAAAGCAGAAGCACTGCTGCTGAGGCTGCTGGTTTGCCCAACAAAGCACCCTGAGTCCTGCCCACACCCCCTCAAGTCACAGGAAAAGACAATGGTGCTGTGAGTCTGAGGGACTCTAGGATAAAGGCAAGACACTATTCCAGCTCCAGAGATGTGGGACCTCTCTCCTACCCCCGCCCTGCCCCACGGCTGACTAACCGCTCACCTGCTCAATATTCTCTCCTTTCTTCTTCATGGCTTTCAAGACACACTCATATGAGTAGCCCATGCTGACCACCGTCTCCACACAATGCCGCTCACTGGGGGACAGCGTCTGCAGTTCAGAGTAAGCCTGGGGACAGCTGGGAGTGTTGGGCACTTGTGACATTGAGAGATTAGGAGGTGTGACCTGGTGGTGGAGAAACAAAAGGATTAAGGCAAGAAGAAAGACATGTAGCCCAATCCAGGGGCTTGTCGTTTCTGACCTAATCAAACCTCCCAGTCAAGCAACCTGCCTGCAAGCAAGGGCCAGGTTTCTGGCCAGACATCCTGAAGAAGACTGAAGAGTGGTAGGGGAGCTCCAGCTGAGGGAGAGAAAAACTGGGAAGACACCTGCAACTGTGGCTGTCCTCTGCCTTCATCCCACCTTGCAGAGCGAGGAAGCACCACAAGAGCCACATGCCCTTCCATGCCCAAATCCCCTGGGCTTGAGGTGGAGAAAGAAGTTCTGAAAACTGCATTCGGGATTGATGCCCAAGCTGGCTGCTGTTATTTCTCTCCAGGGCTCCTTTATCCCTTTCCTAGGCTGCCATATGTCAGTCCTAAAGGGATCAGTAACCTCAAACACCCACACTCTGGACTGACTCTGCCAGTAATGTGTCCATTCTCGCTTCTACTATCGCTGGCTGGGCAGAGACTGCCAGCGCCGTTCCCACACTTGGCCAGCTCAGGGCTCCCGTGCTCTGAGGGCACTCTATCTCTGCCCCACACCATGCACTGTGCTTTGATTCCCTGCAATAGCCGCTGTCGTACGGAGCCAAGACTGAAGGACTACTACCCACTCCAGGCTGTGCCCTCAAGGACTGGACTGTGGTCTCTAGGGCCCTGCTGCTACTGCACTGGCTACAGGACCTTACTAACCCCAGCCTGACTGGTGGACAGATTCCCAGGATTAAATCCTCCCACCACTTCTGGTAATGAGTCAGCCCCAAGGCAAAAAGGCAGCTCACTCCCAGGCCAAAGGACAGAACCACCATGGGAACAAGGTCACAAGCTGTTTGACACCTTGACCCAGCTCTGAAGAACCAGGGAAAATTTTTCAACAAAATTTTCATTTCCTTTTTTTTTTGCGGGGGGGCCGGGGTTCGGGAGGGAGGAGGGAAAGGAGCCTGCTATCCTAAAAGCATGTTCAAAATTATATAGCTCGGGACTTCCCTGGTGGCGCAGTGGTTTGAAATCCGCCTGCCAATGCAGGGGACATGGGTTCGAGCCCTGGTCCGGGAAGATCCCACATGCTGCGGAGCAACTAAGCCCGTACGCCACGACTACTGAGCCTGCGCACCAGAGCCCACGAGCCACAGCTACTGAAGCCCATGCTCCACAACTACTGAAACCCACGTGCCTAGAGCCCGTGCTCCGCAACGAGAAGCCACAGCAATGAGAAGCCCGTGCACCACAACGAAGAGTAGCCCCTGCTCGCTGCAACTAGCGAAAACTGGTGCGCAGCAATGAAGACCCAACGCGGCCAAAAACAAATAAATAAATATTTTAAAATATATTATTAAAAAACTAAAAATAAAATATTAAAAACAAATTATATAGCTATAACCGGATGCTCTCCTCCAAGTCAGCTAGGAAAAACCAAGAAGATTCTACAGGCCTAAAAGCCTGTAGTTTCTGCTTAACCATCTCTCACCCACAGCATACTCCAGGCAGTCCAATCATGGGGCTCAGTCATTAGGTTACAGGAGTCACGACAGGGCATGGGAACTGCATCACACCCTCTGGCCACTTTGCAGGCCCCAAGACTGTCTCTCTCTTTTCAGGGGCAGGCTGTACCTGGGCTTGAGAATACCAATAGCCAAACAGCATTTTGGTAACACTGCTGGCACAGTACTTATTACACACAGTATGAGCTCCTAGAGGTTAGTTACCATGTCAAATGCATTTCTAAATGCCTAAGGCCTGGCTTTGAGCTTGAAACTTACCCCTAATCAACAGTTACTGAATAAGTGGAGCTCTATTAGGATTTCAAAGGGGGGATTTTCATTTAACACAATAAGTTGACACTGATTCTCCTCCCCTCCAAAACCCACTAAAATGATAATAACACAATTAAAACTGTATTAACCTTTAAGGTCAAAGAAAAAGAGGGAACAGCAGAGGACAATATATTTCAATGAAATTTTAGAAGGTGGAATGCTAATGGAGGCAGAGTAATGGGCAGAGGCAATGAAGTTACACGCCCCTGGAGACCCCGAGAGACGGGTTCAGCATTTGGAAGCACCGGGTACTGTTGGGATAAGGCAAGAAACGAAGGCAGTGATCAGAGCAGAAAACCCTCAGGCAGACCTTCCCCACCTCACCTTTGCAGGAGGCAGAACGTTAAGTCTCTAGAAAATGTGAGCCAAAAAGGACTAAGGATACCAAGCACAGCATATGGCAGAGTGAGGTGCAAGAACCAAAAGGGATTAAGTAACTAAACGAGCATTCTCCCACCTTCTTTAGCATTCAAGCAGAACTCTCTAGATAAACTTTAATAGCCCCCAAGACCGTCACATGTTGATGTTTTGCAGAGCTCCCCTCAAAGCCAACTAACCTTCAACCTACAGTGAATCTTCATGATCAGCAAGCACACCCCAACATACACATTCTCTGTTTTGACTGTTTTATTTTAGTGCCTCACTCTTAAATGTGAATAGAAAGCCAAAGCCACCAACATAAGACCAAACCAGAAGAGGGAAAAGACAAAGCACTTGGAAATTTAAAATAAAGTAAAAATTTTATTTAAAAGACTATGAGATTTTTTTTAAAAAAAGGGTTATACACAGGCAAGGATATATTCCAGAAAGTAAAACATAAAGTCAAAGAGATAGAAAATACAAAACAACGAACCACCTCAACCAGATTTTGAAAACTGAGCTGAGCCTTTGGATCCAGGAAGGCCAAGCACAATGAATGAACAAAGCCCATCACTGGTAAATTTCTAATCTCCAGAAATGAAGAAAAGAAAGCTTGTGGGAGTAGGGGAAGAAATCAGAATAGCACTGTATTGCTAGAAATCAGTGGAGCTTATACTTAAATTTGAATTTTTTTTTTTTAAGGGAGCAATGTCTTAAAAATTCTTGAAGAAAAATGACCTTCAACTAAGAAATCTAAATCCAAAGTATTATTCACATGTGAGGGTAAAATTAAGACATTTTTAGATATTCAAGGACTCAAAAATAGGACTTCCCTGGTGGCGCAGTAGTTAAGAATCTGCCTGCCAACACAGGGGACACGGGTTTGATCCCTGGTCTGGGAAGATCCCACATGCTGTGGAGCAACTAAGCCCACGCGCCACAACTACTGAGCTTGTGTTCTGGAGCCCATGAGCCACAACTACTGAAACCTGCACACCACAACTACTGAGCCCGTGCGCAGCAACTACTGAAGCCCGTGTGCCTAGAGCCCGTGCTCCGCAACGAGAAGCCCCTGCACTGAGAAGCCCACGCGCTGCAACAAAGAGTAGCTCTCGCTCACCACAAGTAGAGAAAGCCCGCACGCAGCAACAAAGAACCCCCCCCCCAAAAAAAGACTCAAAATCAGACAGGTTGACCAACATGCTTGAATGTATTTGAACAAGAAAATTATCATTAGGTCTTTGGCAGCTCTTTTGGAGCATTTGGACAAAATTAGCAACAGGCACAAAGAAACCATGCAGACTTTTTTAATGGGGCAGTTAAACTAGAGAAACAAAAAGCTACCAAAAAAATCATCATCATCACCACAGTATACCATCTGAACTCAGTAATAAATATTTACCCAATCATAATAATATGAACAATAACATTAATTGAACCGAAATTTGTGATATAAATATGATGGGAGATACAGGAAGAAGGTAGAGGAGGGGCTATTATCAGAGCTAAGTCCTCAACTACTGCAACAGGAAGTATAAACCTGTCTAAAATTGATAAATTTAGAAAAATGTAAGCATCTAATTCAGAAATACAGAGATAAATCCCAGCATAAACAGTTTAAAGGTCAAAAGTGCCTAACTATGGGAAGCAAAACTGGAACTGGGGAGAGGTGAGGCAGGGAGCTACTGTTTTTCAATACAAGCCTTTTAAATGCTACTTGATTTCATTAAAATATGCTTGTAGTACTTTGATAAAAATAAATTCATTTTTATTTTTATTTATTAAACATTTTTTTCATTTGTTTATTTCTTTTTTGAGGCTTCCTATTTCTTTCTTCCTTTTCTTTTTCTTCTTTTTTTGGCTGTACCACATGGCTTGTGGGATCTTAGTTGCCCAACCAGGGATCGAACCTGGGGCCACAGCAGTGAAAGCGCCAAGTCCTAACCACTGGACTGCCAGGGAAGTCCCTCATTTTTTAAATCTAGAGATGGAGAAGGACTCTACTGTAAGTATTAAAGCAATGGCAACATAAGAAACGATCAACAACAGATTCAAACACCGAAAAGCTAAGAGATTGTATGTACTGAAAATTATTTAAAATACAATTTAAAAGCAAACTGGCACTACTCGTATGCTTCTTGGCCAAAATTAGTAAATTGAGAACTCAGAAGTATAAGGAAAAAGGCAAATATTTTGCTGAAGTAACTGTGAAAGAGTGGGAAGTATATATCCACACCCGGAGAAAGAGAACCCAATGGCAGAATGAGCCTAACCTGTGAGCAGAGCAAGACCCCTTGAAGGGTTGAGGGGCAGTGGGAAGAGGCCCTGGTGCTAGGTCAGGCAGGTCTATGCTGGACACAGAGTACGGGCACATCGCAAGATTGTTCCTCTTAACATGATCCCATGGAGTTCTCAACTTCTAAGATTAGTTTATATAAAACAGTGAAACATGAAATCAAAATCTAAAAATTGAGACCCAAACACTGGGCCTGAAATAGCTGACAAGAACCAAATTCCAGGAACACTTCCCTAGGAGTTCCTATCTGAAGGATGTATACAGTCCAGCTGACCACCATCACCACCCCCCCGCCTCAAGTCCCTATCTTGGAAAGAAGTGCTTCTCTCACTGGGAAGCTCCTACCGTGAGCCTCAAAGACTCGTACTGAGGACAGAAAGCCAGGATGGGAACTGGGCTTTGCTCCCTGGAGGTAAGGGTCATGACTTCCTTAAAAGATCACCAGAACTCTGGGCTTCCCTGGTGGCGCAGTGGTTGAGAGTCCACCTGCCGATGCAGGGGACGCGGGTTCGTCGCGGAGCAGCTGGGCCACGTGAGCCATGGCCGCTGAGCCTGTGCTCTGCAACGGGAGAGGCCACAACGGTGAGAGGCCCACATACCGCAAAAAAAAAAAAAAAAGATCACCAGAACTCCAACTCTTTATATTTGCCCCCCAAAGGCAGCAGTCCCCAGGCCAGGGTGAAGCATGGTTTCCGCTGACACTCTTAAGTCGGTGGGGGTTGGGGGAACCTTTCAGAGTGCTTTTAATTCCTCTAAAGCATACAATGAGTCACAAAGTGAAGAGGAGTATCCTGCTGACCAAAGTCCAACCACAAACCAGGAGGAATTAGGATAAGGTCCATCCTAGGAGATGTTATGCACTCTATTTAGTTTCTCTGGGCAACGGTCCATGGAAGTTTACTGGAAGTTTACGGGCAGCAGTAAGCTCTAACAATGGAAGCACTCACACAGGGAAGATCATTTACCAAGAATGTCACTGCTGGGAACTTGCACTCTTTGTAAGGCAGGCCAAGGCTCATCTTTTCTACCAGCTAATAGCAGGCTTATTATGGTCTCTCAGAGATTTCCCACTAATACAATCAGGCTCCTTTCGGGCTCTAAATACTGTCTTGATATGCTGTCATTTAAAAAATCTGAACTGGTGTAGCAAAAGGTTCTTGGTCTTCTGTGATTTCTATTCTATAATGCAATTGTTCTGTGGGGCTGAAACAACCACATAAAATAAAGTAACCTTCCTGTATATGTATGCATCTCTCTTGTGTGACAAATCAGATTTTCTTCAAGATGATACAAATTACAACTTTCGTATCAACCCACCCTTCAACACTAAATCTGACTTCCAACCTTCCCCTCTCCCTGCCTTTGGAGAAAAATGCACAATTCTTAGTAGTAAGAAAAAAAAAGTAATTGCAGGATTAAAACCTATAGGTTTAAAAATGACAAATTTCTATCTTTTGCTGAAACTTCCAATACAAATTATGCCCCAGTTACTAAAGTACCGCCCAGTTTGAAGAAACGTAACCCCAAACTAGTCAAACACAAAAGAGCCAAACTTCAAGGCAGAGTGAGATGGAAAGAGGGAGAAGAGGGAGGTAGGGAGAAGATAAAAGGAGGAATACCAAGCAACCATAAAAAAATGAAGAAAGCTAATAGGAAAAAGTAAAAAGGTACAAAGAAAGAAAGCCTTTAAAAAATGCAAACACAAGACATGGCAGCACAGAAAAGAACAAATTGATTAGGCAGGAAAACATCATTCACATGATACACATTATCTTTTTGAAGGAAAAGACCAAAAAGATGCAGGGAGGAACAAGCCAACATTAACCAGGTTAGGTGCAAAGCTAATAATCTCGGTCCTCAGAAAAATAAACAGAACTACATATACTTAATGTAAGCAAGGTCAATTTGGTCATGCCCAATCCTGCCCTAAACCTTGCAAAGAAGAATGTGAGGGTGGCAACTGCTGGGTAGAATTTAGAAATCTGTGGAGCTTTAATTCAGGGGGATTTAAAAGGCTTACCGTGGGACTTCCCTGGTGGTATAATGGTTAAGAACCCGCCTGCTAATGCAGGGGACATGGATTTGATTCCTGGTCCGGGAAGATCCCATGTGCCGCGGAGCAACTAAGCCCGTGTACCACAACTACTAAGCCCTAGAGCCCACGAGCCACAACTACTGAGCCCGTGTGCCACAACTACTGAAGCCCGCGTGCCTAGAGCCCATGCTCCACAACAAGAGAAGCCACCACAATGAGAAGCCTGCGCACCACAATGAAGAGTAGCCCCCGGTCACCACAACTAGAGAAAGCCCGCCCGCAGCAATGAAGACCCAACGCAACCAAAAATAAATAAATAAATTTATAAAAGGCTTACCGTGGGACAGGTATTTGGAGGTGATGATTCTTCTGTGCACACAGACAAGACAGAGAGGGAAGGCATCTGGGAATGGGTCAGGGTTGGCACCTCTGTGCCACTGTCCAAGTTCAAAGCTGAAAGCCCAAGAGCTTGATGCCCATTGAGCTCACTGGCACTGCTTTGGGTGGAAGGCTTTAGGGAATTCCGGAACGCGCCACTGCGGAGGCAGGATGTGCTATGGAAAGTGCTTGCCATCTTGGCTGTCTTTTGACTGCTGTCATCAGAGTCAAGTTTGGGGAAGGACAGGGACTTGATATTGCTTACTGCAGGGATGGGGGGGAGGGACACTTTGGAAGACAGCGACATCTTTTCACAGTTGCCCAACTGTGGTAAGGTTATAAAGCCATTGGGTTTGTGAAGAGGCTTGAAATCTAGGGTTGCCCGCTCCAGGGATGCCAGGACCTCCTCATCCTGTAACACAGACCCAGAGCCACCTCTAGGCAAGTTACTGTCCAATAACTGGGCCATAATGGGTCCACTGGTTCCTACCAGAATGTTTCTCAGCTCTTCCTTCTCATCAATAGTTTTTAACTCCAGATTATCAAACGGGTCTTCTTCACACTCAAAGTCAGCAGGATTGAAATCTGCCTTTGTGTGGGGTGGGCTGAGAACTTTCTGTTTTGTGGCACTGCTGCTGACCCGAGTTGGGGTGAGGATGCTGTTGTGCTGTAAGCTGGCAAGGATGGGATTGATAGGAGGTGGCATTGTGGCTGTACTGTGAGTCTTGGAGAAGCTCATTTTGCTGTCACCCTCTGGGCCACTCTTAGAATTCACCTTAGCTTCTGCTTCCTCAGCCTTGCGCTCTGCTTCCCACTGGGCTTCTTGGATTTTCTTAATATCTTCAGCCCACTCAACGGTTTTCTTTTCCAAAGAGAAGTCATACTGCAAAGATATATCAGAGAAAGGAAGTGTGAACCCAGGTGGCTGCCCCTCCCCCACCCAATTCCTCCACCCAATTCACTTCTTCCTCACCCTGGCACAAGTGAACTGGGCAAGGCAGCATTTATTAAGGTGTATGGGTGGATCCCCACTCAGGAAAACTAAGACTTCCTAATCTTACTTGATTTAATCAAACTATGCTCCCTGGTTACTTCTAGAAATTAACTAGAAAGGGCTCCCACCACCTCTGATCCTACATACCAGGCCAAATGTACCTTGCCACTTCCCTTGCTTCTCTCCCCTCAGGCCATTTCCCTTCCTAGAATTCTTCATTGGTGGCTCAGGCAGAATTCAGCTGCCTCCTCTATAAAGCTTTCCTGATGGCCCATTCCTTCCTCTGAACTCTTTTTTTTTTTTTTTTTTTTTGCGGTATGCGGGCCTCTCACTGTTGTGGCCTCTCCCGTTGCGGAGCACAGGCTCCGGACGCGCAGGCTCAGCGGCCATGGCTCACGGGCCCAGCCGCTCCACAGCATGTGGGATCTTCCCGGACCGGGGCACGAACCCGCGTCCCCTGCATCGGCAGGCGGACTCTCAACCACTGCGCCACCAGGGAAGCCCTCCTCTGAACTCTTAACATAGTGTCTGTCTCTATCATTTGATGCTGAGCACATGTGACCACAAGTAGCTTTAGTCTTCCTCTAAACATTTCCCCAACACAATCACAAGCCTCTTGTGGGCAGCAACTGGGCTTTAGACCCTCTTAAGTTCTCCATTATCTAACACAATGCCCTAAATAGATCCCGTGCTCAATAAAAACAACAGCCCCTAGTATTTAAGAAGCACTTACAAGGTGCCATGCATGATTCTAAGCACTTTTTATATATTAGTTCTCTAGATTTTTTCAACATTACAGGGGCTATGCTCAAGGTCATAAAGCTGTTAAGTGGTAGAGCCTGGATCTGAACCCAGGCAGTCTGACAACAGATTCTATGCTCTAAACCACTACCAAATTACAGTGAACAGACTGTACTCTAAATGTAGAAAAACTGCTTATTAAGTAATCTAGACATAACCAAATTAAGATTTTACAATGCAAACTCAACAAAAAGCAAACAACCTGATTAAAAAATGGCCAGAGGATCTGAATAGACATTCTTCCAAAGAAGCCATACAGATGGCCAAGAGGCACATGAAGAGATATTCAACATCACTAATTATTAGGGAAATGCAAATCAAAGCCACAATAAGATATCGCCTCACGCCCAGTGAAATGGCTATTATCAAAAAGGCAAGAAAAAAACAAGTGTTGGAGAGGATGTGGAGAAAAGGGAGCCTTCATACACACTGTTGGTGGCAGTGTAAACTGGCGCAGCCACTGTGGAAAAGAGTAAAAGCTAAACAATGTGTGCACATTCAAGGCTGGAGGCACAATGAGAGTAAAGAGGAGAAAGCGAGAGGAAGGAGGCCTACCATGACCTAGAGCCACGGAAGGCTTGGAGTTTTAGAGCAGATGAAACATAATAAAGTGCCTCAGGTCATCCCTAAACCTTTCAGCTTCAAACAACACAAAAGTTCACTTACACACTCTGAGCCAGTTACTGGGCCCCAAAAAGACACTTGGGGGATCACAGGGCTTCCTTTCTACCACTAACTGAATAGTGAGAAAACAGCACTGGGCAAAGGTTGCTGCTTCTAACTGTGTTGGAAATCCAATTATGCAACTGGTTTCCTCCACCAAAAACAGGCTGTGACCAACTTCCCACTGCCTGTTAAACACAGATCTCTGAAGTTTTACTCACAAAAACAAGTGTAAATTTCTTTCCTCTTTAGTACTTTTTTGTTTTTTTGTAATTACCAAAGTAATGTAGAATACTTGGAACATAAGAAAAAACAGAAAGGAAAAAACAGCAGAAATATTACAGTGAAAAAGAATGTGATTTTTGAGTGTACAATAATAAATAATAACACCATCTAAAATTTATGGAGTACCAGGAAGCAGAATAAGCATTATAAATGCATTATTTTACTTAATCCTTATAATAACCTTAAAAATCTGTACAAGATTACACAGCTATTACACGGCAATTCCAGCCCATGAATCGCTGAACCACAGTCTGCTCTAAACCGTGACACTAACGGTCACCCTCCACTACTGTGGCCACTACCACCATTTCGGTGAAAACTTTCCGGACCTGGGTGCAAAGGTTTATGTATGTTTTACTGGCTCACTTTGATGATTTTTAATCTGAAATCTCAAGTTTGTATTGTCATGCAAGGGCAAATATGAAAAAGTTACAGGAAGCTTCAAGCTGTCTAGGGCTCTAAGTCTGACTCTTCTCTGGACAGAGAGGGAGCCAGCGCCAACACCACACCAATACCACAGCCAAATCCCCCACTGGAGACCCTAGGCAGTCAAAGTTTAAGGAAGCTATCTGCAATTAGAGAACAAAAACACTGCAGCTAGCCCACACAGGAATGGAGCTTGGAGCCTTGATCTCCTCTTTTGTTATTAGTGGGTGTGATGAGTATGACAGGCACAGTACCAGGCACTCATTAGATCACACTGATCAAACAGAAAATTCCCAGCAAAGCCTATTAACAGCAACAATGTGGGATTCCAAACAAGCCTTCTGAATGAATCAATGAGGCAGCGAATAATATGAGGACTACTGAAATAAGATGGAGGTGTTATTTAAATCATATTGCTAGCAGTATTCTGCACACAGAGTGGTATTTACTGAATATTTGTTGCTGCCAATAAAAAAGCCACCAAGGAAACAGAACAAGGTAAAACTTCATAAGGGAAATCTCTATCTCTTCTGGCCCAATAAAGTCTCCATACACAAAAGGAGTATCGATTCAGTATTTAAAAACATCTAAGATAGTCAACATTATTAGTAGCTAGGGAAATGTACATCAAAACCACCATAAGAGGGGTAATTCCTTGGTGGTCCAGTGGTTAAGATGCCATGCTTCCACTGCAGGGGGCATGGGTTCAAACCCTGGTCTGGCAACTAGGATCCCAAATGCCACGCAGCCAAAAAAACAAAAACAAAAACCGTAAGACCACTGCACACCCATTAGGATGTATATAAATAACTAAAAAGACAGATGATAACAAAAGTTGGCAAGGATGTAGAGGAACTGGAAACTTCATGCAGTGTAGGTAGGATTGTAAAATGGTGCAGCCACTTTGGAAATTAGTCTGGCAATTCCTCAAAAGGTTAAACATAGTTAATATATGACCCAGCAATTCCACTCCTATGTATATACCCAGGAAAGCTGAAAGCATATGTCTGCACAAAAACCTGTAGACAAATGTTCACAGCACGGATTTCCCTGGTGGCGCAGGGGTTAAGAATCCTCCTGCCAATGCAGGGGACACGGGTTTGATCCCTGGTCCGGGAAGATCCCACGTGCTGTGGAGCAAATAAGCCCGCCTGCCACAACTACTGAGCCCACGTGCTGCAACTACGGAAGCCCGCTCGCCTAGATCCCAAGCTCTGCAACAAGAGAAGCCACCGCAGTGAGAAGCCCACGCACCGCAAGTAGTAGTAGTTCTGGCTTGCCTCAACTAGAGAAAGCCCACACGCAGCAATGAAGACCCAATGCAGCCAAAAAAAAAAGTTCACAGCAGCATTATTCCTAAAAGCCAAAAAATTGGAAACCATCAAAAATGTCTATCAACTGGGGACTTCCCTGGCCGTCCAGTGGTTTTAAGACTCCGCGCTTGCACTGTAGGGGGCGTGGGTTCGATCCCTGGTCAGGAACTAAGATCCCATAAGCCGCACAGCCAAAAAAAAAAAAGTCTATCAACTGATGAATGGATATACTAACTGTGGTATATATCAATACAATGGAATTATTCAGCCATAATAATGAATGAAGTACTAATACTTCATTCATACAATATAGATAAAACTTGAAAACATTAAAGTAAAATAAACCAGTCACATATATATTTATGAATAGTTATATATAAAAGACTAAATATTGTATTATTCCACTTATATGATATTCCAGAATAGGCAAATTCATAGAGAAAGAAAGTAGATTTAGTGGTTGCCAGGGGCTGGAGGAAGGGGAAAATAGGGAGTGACTGCTAATGGACACTGGGTCTCTTTTCAGGGTGATGAAAATATTCTGGAATGAGATGGTAATGTTAGTTATGCAACTGTGAATATACTAAAAAAAAATTTATTTGCATACCTTAAAAGGGAAAATTTTGTGGTTATGTGAATTATATCAATAAAACTTTTATTTAAAAAATATAACTGAAGTTCTCCCACTACGATTATTCCCTAAAAAAGACTGCAGAATACATTTTATTTTATTTTATTTTATTTTTTATTATTATTATTTTTTCATTATTATTTTTTTTGGCCACGCTGCCTGGCTTGCGGGATCTTAGTTCCGCAACCAGGGATTGAACCCAGGCCCTTGGCAGTGAAAACACGGCATCCTTTCCACTGGACTACCAGGGAATTCCCAATTTTTTTTTTTCAAAGAATACATTTTAGATTAACATGGTAATGCCTTAGTAAATCCCCCTTCTTTGCCAGGAAGTTGTATTTTAAAAAATCTAAAGTCACAGGAAGAAGTGTTTGGGTGAGTAGCGTACCTTTCTGTTTTTCCATGTAACTCCTTCTCTAAACTGTAAGCTCCTTGAGGAAAGTGATTAAGGCATTTATCTCTATTCTCAACCCTAGCAGAGCGTCACTCAAAAGAAGGCAGTCAGTAAGTGTGTAGGAAGTCACATAACATGGGGCTATTTGCTGCTTTCAAGATGTAATTTTATACATTTATAAATAACTGAGCTTTAAAGATGTAAGTGTTGAAAAAGAAGCTACGGAGGAGACGGCATTTAAGTGCAGTCTAGAATAGATAAATTTTTAAGAAGCAGACAGCTTTTAGTATGGTGAGAAAGAGAAGAATATTTCAAGTGGGGATAACAACTCATGAGAAAAGCATGGTACAGACAGGTAATACACACAGTACATTCAACAAATTGCTATAGTATCCTGATTTCGAGGGAATATAGAGGAGATGATGAGCTAAGGTACTCGACCATAACCTTAGGTCTAGACTTGATTCAGTAAGGTTGGTGAATCACTGTAAGTTTTTAAATTCAGGAATATTATTCTAGAAACAATATGAAAAATAGAAGGAAAATGCTGTAAGCAGAAGAGCCTATTAAAGAGGCTATTGAAATAGCCCAGGTGAAAAAATAAGGTAAGGATAAACTGAATGGCAACGGGAAGACACAGCAGAGAGAAAATACTATGTAACTTGAGTGACCAAGAAGGTAATGAGGACATGAATAGACAGAAGGAAAGAGGGGAAGAAGCAAGTCACATGAGCAACGGGGATTTGTTTTGGACAAGGCACAGAATCCCAGGAACATACAATCTATCAGATTACACAAGATCTGTAACAGATATATAAACATATGTAAATGTGCGTGTGTGTGTATGCACACCTGTGTGTGAGAGAGACAGTGTGAGCCAAGCGATAACAGGAGCTATCAGAAACACAAATAAGAGACAGGAGAATTTTTTTTTCTATTTCACTATACAGCAAATTCTTACTCCTTAAAATGTTAAATGTACTAAACTTTAACTAAAAATTACCACTTACCTGTACTTCTCTGACAACCTGCAAACAATCAGGCAAGGAGAAGCCAATAGGTAGACCAACTTTAGCTGGTGTTTTGAATTTGTCTCCTATCTTAAATGGGACATCATCAAGGTAACTGAAAGTCCCTACAATCAAAAATAAAGTACAAAATATCAGCAAAGAACTTATTATTTGTTTTGGTATAATCTTACGTCTAGGATACATTAATTTATGCTATCCTAAGACTAGAAGTTACAGAGTTTCTTCTCTGACTGCTTACCTTCTCCTGACCCTAGATCTCTAATAAGGACTCCTGTTTGAGGTTACTTGATCTTATTAGGGTTTATATTCAATTATACTTAGCATAAAAGCCAAAGTACTCACAGTAGCCTAAAAGTCCTCCCCAACGCCCATTACCTCTCTTGCCCTCAATTCCTGGCTCACTGAACTAAGTCACAGTGATCCTCTGTTCCTCAACCATGACATGGTCAAAACTACTTCAAAAATTCTGCACTGGCTGCTTCCTCTATCTGGAATGTTCTTCCCTCAGATATTCACATGGCTTACTCCTTCACCTCCTTCAAGTCTTTGCTCAAATGGCACTTTCTAAGTGAGGCTTACCCTGACCACCCTATTTAAAATTACTACCACACCCTCACCACAGTAATCCCACATTATCATCTATCTTTTCTCCATAGCACTTATTACCTTCTAACATATATGTAATTTGCCTTTTAATTATATTTATTGTCTGTCTTGCCCAGTGGAATATAAGCTCCCTGCAGGTAAGTATTTAAGTTTGTTTTATTCACTGATGTGGTCTCAAAACCTCAGCACTTCCTGGTACATATTAGGCACTTATTAAATACTGATGAATTGATGATAGAATCTTCACAAAAGAACCTCCTTGGTTAGGATTTCTTTAGTAAGAATCATTTTTTAATTAATACAAAGAACTACTCTAGATTTTTTTTAAAGCTACATTCTAGAGATATGGAAATATTTAAGAAGTACAGCACTTATGGAAAAAAGGAAAGCCAGACAAGACCATGGGAATCAAACCAGGATTATCAGGAGACACAAACCATACACAACTGAACTGCTTTAACTCCCTAAATGTTCTCTGCCCATCACAGATGCGTAATACAGAAAGATCAAGACATTATCATTGATTTATAGGGTCAGACAAAAATAAGAGTGGTTCTTGTATGTGACGCTCACTAGGTATACACTCCAAATCAGGTCATGATTTCTTTTCTGGACCAGGTTTGGGGCTAACAACTGGCAGAAGCAACAGGGAGAATCAAACATAGTTCATAAAATACATTTTGCTTTTTGAATATTAGCAGCTAGTAAAATAAGGCTTACTTCTGGGTCTCACACTTGTATATTTTCTTGAGTGTTCATGTCCAGAATAAGACAATTACACCTCTTCCATAAAGAGATTTCTTTTCCTTCTAAGAACTCTGTAGATTTCAAGACTTATCAAGCAAGGTCAAGATATACTTGTAATCTTGTCATCATTCCCATTTCTCAAGGTAGATATTGCTCTGATCCTCCAAAAGAAAGAATAGGCCCCCTCTCCCACTCTTAGGGGAGGGCGTCTACCTCTTTCCCATATAACTTCTAGCTAGAATTAAAACATTTTAACTATCTCTCACTCAGCTAGCAAATTAAATCCACAACTGTGTTCAATTTAATAATTTTTCTGAGGCATAATCATAACTGTTAACACTCTAGCAAAGTTTCCAAGTTGGTCATACCTTTGTAAGTGTTCTCTCAGCTGGCAATGCCTGTCACATTCCCACCCTTATTTACTTAATTATGTCTTGTCCTTTAAGAATGATCTTAAGAACAACTCCCTTCTCAATCTCAGAACAGGTCTTACCATTCTGTATTGTTAATAGTTTGTTTCCTTATACTACCCCCCACCCTGCACCAGAGACTTGGATCAAGGATTTGATCAAATTCCTATCCACACACCCCCAAGCTCAGCATAACATCCAGCAGATGAGATTTGCTCAATGAGAATAAATAAAGAAGACATGGTCTTACACTTCTCTTGTATTTAACTCTCACACTAACTCACACTCAATTAGTATTTATTAAAATTCAAAATGATTTACCTAAAATGGCAAAGCTAGTCCTGAAAATGTTTTAACGGAGTACTCATGCAAGATGTAAGCACATTTCTAAGGTTCTGCAGAAAGTCACAAAAATGTACCAGAGGTACCAAAAAAAAGTATCAGGTACCATCACAGCTTGCCAACAAAACTCTGGTCATAACACTAAAACCTTCTGCCACTTATAAAATGCTTTATATTATAGAGATCAAAAGCAACGCTCTTTTTAATTGTAGAGGACTTTTATCTGTCTTCCATGGAAACAGGTGCTCAAAAGTTACTGAAAGTTAGAGTCTAACTTTGGCTAGTGCCCTGATTAACTGGAAACAAAGCTGGAACTAGCATTTTCTAAGAAGCATTGGAAAGATTTACAGTCAAGTCAATAATCACAAAATTAAGTCTTTTGTTTAAGAAAATTTTAAGTATACATTCAAAGTAGGTTACTTATATAACATACACATATTAGAAAAATCCTATCTATAATAATACTTATATGCATATATGATATACAAATCTAAGAAAACCTATCCACATTAATACTAACAAAATTTTCTTAAATGAATACTTCTATTATAGATTGGTAATGGGGAGTTGAGGGGAGAAAAACATCTGTTAAAAAGTACTATACTTTAGATATCTGAGCCAAATGATAATATCTTTCAAGAAGGGTGTTCAGTTTCCTTGCCTACCTTTCAGTTAGGAAACTATGACAGTGTTGTATACACTGACAATTTATATTCTATAAATGGAACTAGGCCCTGGCTTAGAGACAGACCAGATCAAGTAGAACACCTTGAAACAACTGCTGTTTCCCTTCATTAGCACCAATTACAGGTAATTGCTTTAAAAAGCAGTTTCATTTCACTAACAAAGCCAATGCCAAGGTGACTTAGCACATCTTCTAACCTTCCCCCTCCCCCCTTTAAGCTCTGTTAACCGGGAATGAGTAAACAGTTTTGTGATTATTGGGAGGAGGGGATAGCGCTAAATGGCAAAAGGCATTTAAGAGACACCAACAAGAAAAGCAACTTTTTGAATGATGGTCAGAGACTACCATAAGTACAATGAACGATGTTGCTGTGAGGATTAAAAAGAACATTTTTGCAAATATAACCAACTATGCCTTAGGAACTATATTCATTTTTATCCAATATATCAGAATATCTATTTAAAGACATCAATTTCTCTTATTTCTCAATACATTTTATTTTTTAAATAGATTCAATAAAAACTTAACCACATGGCCCAGAGAATAAGCATTGTGGTTAATAATCTTCTGGCTCACCCCCAAGTACCTTTATTCCTGAAAATCTTTCTAAGATGTCTGAGCCCATTTTCCTCCGTTCCATTTAGAAAAAGAAAGTACATCTCTGATGGCTGTGGCAGTTCCTTGAAGTCAGGTTCTGCACACTGCTCGCCATTATGCTATGGTGGAAGGAACTGGGCTGAATGTGTAATGACTCAGGATAAATTCTGGGAAGGTTTCATTCTGTTTCCTTTCTTTCTAAATTGCTGATAATGTTTATGATCTTGTGACCTGCCTGTTTTTCTGAAAAAAGGTAATTCCATGTGGGGAGAGAAATTCCTAATAGAGGGTAGCAACTGGATTATGCTTAATTCAGATTTTACTGTGTGTTAAAATTGAGGTTTTTGAAAAAGAAGAATAAAACAGATCAAACTTAAAATTAACTGAAAATTGCAATCCCATGACTGAGTATCATTACCTTAAAGCTGTAAGTCAGGTAACACTGGCAAAATTACATCAAGAGATAGTTAAATAGAGCGAGACACACGCATACACACACACACACACACAATTATACAGATATCAATACAGGATGTGAAGTCAAAAGAAAATGTTACTCATGTCCTAACAAAAAACAAGATAACCTACAAAATCAGCTTTTTAATATGCAGTATCTGGCATTAAATTTAAAAAAAGACACACAAAAAAGGAAGAAAATGTGATCCATCATCAAGAGAAGAAACAGTCATCAGACCCAAATTCAGGGATAGCCAAGATACTGGAATTATCAGAGAACTTTAAAATAACTATAATAAATATGTTAAAGGATCTAATGGAATATGTGAACATGTGTGAGCAGATGGGGAATTTCAACAGAGAGATGGAAATAGAAAGAGACAAATGGAAACACTAAAAATGAAAACTGAAGTATCATAGAAAAAAATTTTTGATAGTTCATAAGCCAGGCTATGCTAATCAGAAGACAATACTCATAAGAGGAAAGAATCAAAGAACTTGAAATTAAGTCAAGAAATTAACTTGAATTGAAAGAAATTAAAAGAATTGAAACACAAAGAGAAAAAAAGAAAAAAAAAATGTAACAGAGCCTTAAGAGATCTCTGGGACAATATCAAACAGCCTATGCATATGTGATTAGAGTCTCAAAAGGATAAGAGAGAGACATGGAGCAAAAGAAATGTGAGAAGAGATTATGGCTGCAAATTTTCAAAAGTAGTAAAAGACATCAACTCACAGATCCAAGAAGTTTAGCTAACTCCAAGCAGGATAAATACATAGAAAATCAAACCAAGGCACATCATAGTTAAAATGTTGCAAACAAAAGAAAGTCTTAAAAGACGGGGGATGAGCAGCATATGACACACAGGAGAACAATGATTAAATGATGGTTGACTTCTCTATACTACTCTGTACTTAAAAAGCAATAACAGATTTGGATTTCCCCAGCAGTACAGTGGTTAAGACTCCGCACTTCCACTGCAGGGGGCATGGGTTCGATCCCTGGTCGGGGAACTAAGATCCCATATGCCTCACAGTGTGGCCAAAAAATTAAAAAACAATAATAAAAATAAGAAATAAAACAATCTAAAATAAAACACCTTTTTCTATCACTCAACAGAAAAAGTATTTCAATATCTTAGTAGAAGTTAAACCAAGAGAAAAATAAACCTTTCCAGAAGTTAGCTAAATAGTCATAAATATGACAGCTCGGCATTTCAAAGGAGGGAGTTTAGTTTTATTAAGTCCAATTACAGAGACTTATTTTTTTCCCAAATTAGAATATCAGGGCATTTTTCCAGATATTGAAAGAGTAACTTATCTGTTTGTTGAAACATTTTTAAAAATCCTTTAAAAGTCACTTCTGGAAAATAACTTTTTTCTTACACAAGTGGAAAATGAGTCAAAACTTAAAGAGAATTGACATTCGGAAAGGCGTGCTTTAAACTGAGCCAAAGGTTTGCAATTTGCATGATATAAGGACAATATTTTTAAAGGCCTTTGAAAAGTAACTGTTTGTATTTCTTATTCTATTATTTAGGGGTATGTGGTTACTAATGACAGTGGAAGAAGTTCAACCTGAGTTGAAAAGAATGAACTTGAAGAAAAATCAAATACTAGTTCTAAGACAGCACAGCATAAGATATAGTCAGCCCAAGTATTTAAATAGAAAAAAAAGCATTTTCATATCCAATCATGAGAGCAGTTGTCACCTCCTTATCCACACCCCAAGTGCCCTAGAATTACTCTCTCTCTCTCTCTCTCTCTCTCTCTCTTTCTCTCTAACCCCGAGTCAGATAATACCTAACTTAGGGGGAACCAACCCAGAGGCTCATAAACTAAAATGTTCCAGTCAGATACTCCCTTGACCAAAAGATACAAAAAGTTCAGCTATATGATGCTAGCCACTATATGATCAAGTAGCAAGAAGCACCATAACTGGGGTGGCCATTTTTGGCCCTGTGCACTCTACACAAGTAGGCCAAGAAAGCAAGTCTATAAACAGAAGAATAAAAATGGAGCACATCTGCGGAGAAAAGCAGTGAAAGATGGACGGAGTAGTAGCCTCAGTTTCCTGGCTTTCTAATTTCAGCCTTGTAAGGCCAGGCTGAATTTCATTTCCTGCATTCAGATGCCTACAAGATTGCCTATTAAATATTCTCCACCTATTCCCTTTAATTTCTATTCCTTAAACTACATGATATCTAAAAATTCTAACAGCCCAACTAAAGCCACTGAAATTCAAGTAGGAGCTTAGCAAATTAAAGCAGAAGCAGCCAAAGAGAGAAAGAGAAAATCCTTCTCAAATTTTACTCAGGTAGAGCATTTCATTTAAACAATAAAATTTTGGTTAGGAATGTAAAGAGATGGAGGAAGTCCTAAAAAAATAAGTCATCACTGATCAGGTAACTTCAGAATTATAATCTTCTCTCTGGATTGTTGAGCTGGAACATATAAACTGGGGTCCAACTTATTTTCACTCCAATCAAAAAGGAGTTTCTAAAGATTCAAGATAGAAAATGTATCTTTTGAAGTAAGATTATAAATTTAAGTTTTTCATTTTTGCTCTTTTCTCTCCCTAGGTCTTTCCTCTCTCCTTGGCTCTGTCCTCTCTTTTCCCTTGAGAAAGTGATTAGAGGCAACTACAGATCTGCCTCTCTATATCATTTGAAGACTTTGAAAGAGCCCTGTAATAATCCTTAAACAACAGGAGATAGCATACCTGAAGATCTGATGCCTGACAGGTTTTACAGAATGCAAATTCCAGAGTCTGAATGACTTAATTCCAAAAGAATTTAACAAAACATACGGAAGCAATGTATGTAAGAATATGCACAGTGGCAGTCCAAAATATTAAAGCTGTTGTATAAAAATATACAAGGAAGTTAAAAACCAAGGAACTGCTGCACCACCCTGACTCAGAGAAGTGATATTATCAAGTAACCATTTGTAGATCAGAAGAGCATAACAATACATGTTGCCACTCAGTCTAACAAATCATTCTTACAATGACATGATTTTTAAAATGGAAGATTAGTTTTAAAACCCCTTTTAAAATAATTGTGTTGTCTGGATATTTCTGATGTTTAATTCTTATCTCTGTACAAAAAAGCGTCTAATTTTAACTTCTTAGGCACCTCCCTTCCTATCAAATGCAGATAATAAAAGTTTATTAATGTACTCCATTTTGGAAGGTCATATCTTAGAAAAAGATGATAAACTATTAGTTTCAAACGCAAAATTGTAATTACTACTACTGATACTTCTGTAATATACTGATCTGCTAATCATGTCTTATTTGTAGTAAATCATTTCTTTTTATGGGGGGAGAAAACCTAAACCAAAACATCATAAAACGTTAACTAAAGGCTTAGAATTTTTCACACCTGATGGAGAAGAGATGGATTTTTCACACCTGATGGAGAAGAGATGGACCAGAACAAGAAAAGGAATGGTAACTATTTCAAAATACTGCTGAAAAACAACAAAAAGAGGCAGGCTCCCTATCCACCTCCAGCAGTTTCAAGTACAATAAATACAGAGATACTCTAAAGTTTATCCATTTGAACTTCACATTAAAGTTATGTGAAGTCCTATGAAATGAGTATGCTACATTGTTGTACAACTTTATTTTCCTCAAGCCGCTCATTTAAATAAACAAAAAGGGACACTTAATGTGATTTCAAATTCTCTGATCAGATCAAAACTTAAACCATGATATCTAACAGTCCACTTACCATGAAAATCTGCACCCAACTTCTTAGAAGCCATTTAGAACCTGAAAAACAAAGAAATATTTCTTAGGCGCATTATGCCTTGAGGGGATACAAACAAACCATTATAATTGAGGACTTCCCTGGTTGCGCAGTGGTTAAGAACCCGCCTGCCAACACAGAGGACGTGGGTTTGACCCCTGGTCCGGGAAGATCCCGCGTGCTGCGGAGCAACTAAGCCTGTGCGCCACAACTACTGAGCCTGTGCTCTAGAGCCCACAAGTCACAACTATTGAGCTCATGCGGCACAACTACTGAGCCCACACACCGCAACTACTGAAGCCCTCGTGCCTAGAGCCCATGCTCCTCAACAAGAGAAGCCACTGCAATGAGAAGCCCGTGCACTGCAACAAAGGGTAGTTTCCGCCCGTGGCAACTAGAGAAACCCACAGGCCGCAACAAAGACCCAACGCAGCCAATCAATCAATCAATATCTTAAAAAAAAAGAAAGAAAATTGAGACTACAAAAAGAAACCAGAAGACTAAAAGGTTCCAGGATTGACATAACCCTCAAACTTCTCAGTCCCAAAGTCTCAAAAAAGAAAGCAGAAAGGGGGAGAAACCACTTTTCTAGAAAAAAAAACATTTCTGAATCTGCGTGTTCTGGGGGAAAAAAAACATTAGAACAGCAAACTAGCCATTGACCAATTTATACACAAACTGTCAAAAAAAATTACTAAACATTTATCTTCCTGATATAAGCTACTAATGTCAATATTTGTAGTTCTATCAAGATTTTTTATATATCCCATTTTATTCAGTATGTAAATATAGACCTTTTACTGACAAATGTAACTGTAAGACTGACATTTCTGAATTAGGGAATCAATGACTTACAACCTTCTGTATTGTTTTAATTTTGTATACAATTTCAAAAAAGGGGAATTCCCTGGCAATCCAGTGGTTAGGACTCGGAGCTTTCACTGCCAGGCCGGGTTTAATCCCTGGTCAGGAACTGACATCCCACAAGCCGTGTGGTGTGGCCAAAAAAAAAAAAAAAATCCAAAACAGGAAGGAAGAAAAATCCATAAAACCACACATCTAGCTTAGTATTATCTTTGCACTTTGCCATTACATGAGTAGGTACAAAGTCCTTTTCTTGCAAAGACAATCTGAGATCTTCAACCTAAAAGTTTATTTCCCTTGATCTGATGTTTAGACCTTTGACTTACCTAAGACATAAGCATATAACGAATATATGGTATGGTCTCTATTAGCCTGTATTACCTACAGTACAATGCATGGCATCATACTTAAAATGATCTACAGGCATACCTCATTTTATTGCACTTCACTTTACTGTGCAAATTGAAGGTATGCTCAACCTTGCATTGAGCAAGTCTAAGGTCTAAGGCGCCATCTTTCTAACAGCATTTGCTCACCTCGTGTCTGTGTCACATTTAGGTAATTCTCACGATATTTCAAACTTTTTCATTATATTTGTCATGGTGATCAATGACCTTCGATGTTACTATTATAATTGTTATGACATTTTTTAGCAATAACCATTTTTTTTTTTTTGGCTGCATCAGGTCTTCATTGCAGCACGTGGGAAATTCATTGTGGCACACAGGCTTCTCTCTAGTTGTGGCTTGTGGGCTCTGTAGTTGTGGCACACAAGCTCTCTAGCTGTGGCCCACATGCTCAGTAGTTGTGGCCCTCGGGCTTAGTTGCCCACCCCCGACCCAGCATATGGGATCTTAGTCCCCTCACCAGAACATAACTTCTACATGCACTGGGCAACCAAAAAACCTTGCGTGACTTGCTTTATTGTGATATTCGTTTTACTTCAGTGGTCTGGAACTGAACCCACAATATCTCCGAGGTATGCCTGTATGTTCCACTGTAAGTTTTTTTAAAAGAAGGCGAGTATATTGCACCTATCATGTGAAAAGTAATCAAAATAATTAAATCTGTACAGGATTTTGAAGAAACTGACAAGTTGATTTTAAAATTTACATGTAAAGGCAAAGGAAACAATAGCCAAAACAATTTCGAAAAAGAACAAAGCTGGAGAACTTACCACCTAACTTCAAGACTTATTATTAGAGTAATTAAGACAGTATGGAAATGGCATAAATATATCACACAGACCAACAGAACAGAGTACAGAAATAGAACCATATGAAAAAAATGTCCCGAAGACGTACCGTAACGACCAACCACACAAGTGCTTTAGGCTGTACTTTACTGAGAAAAGAATTCAAACTGACCCAGACATGTGTAGATCAGAAGAGCTGCGTGCTGTGAAGTATGCAACAAGTGGATTTTTTGTTCAAAATGAAATTAAAATAATGACAGTGAAAAAAAAAAGAAATAGACCCATATGCATATAGTTAACTGATTTTCAACAAAGGTGCAAGGCAATTCAAAGGGGAAAGGACAGTCTTCTCAACAAATAATGCCAGACATTTGTATGCAAAAAATAAACCTCAATCCATACTTTACACCGTATATAAAAATTAACTCAGGGGGATGGGGAAATTATGGCTAAGAGATACAGGGCTTCTTTCTGGGGTGATGAAAACATTCTAAATGTGATTATGGTGATGACTGCACAACTCTGTGAATATACTAAAAGCCACTGGATTGTACACTTTAAATGGGTGGACTGTATGTGATATGCTGATACACTACAACAACTTGGATGAATCTCAAATGCATTATGGTAAGTGAAAGAAGCCAAACTCAAAAGGTTACATACATGTATGTATGGAACAGGATGCCATTTACAATATTCCAGAATAGGCAAAACTACAAGAACAAAAAAGTAATCTAGCTACTGGACACTAATAGTGGAGGAAGGAATTGACTATATAAAAGGGAATGTGGGAATTTTTTGAAGTTATTGAAACTTCTATATTTGATTGCACTAATGGTTACAGGACTATATGCATTTGTCACAAATCACAGAACTGAAAACAGGGTAAATTTTATTATATGTAAATTATACCTTCAAATTTTTTAAAAGTGTATATATATACCCATCACATTGAAATTAGATAAAACAGAATCACTGAATAACACTAATAATATTTTAAGCTACTCCACTAGGAGTAGAATAAAGTTTCATTTTTAAAATGCCAAAATTCAAAATAACATATTATATGGCTGCACCAAATTCTATTAGTATGCTTTCTGCCTGATGACAAGGGTTTTCTACAGTGAAGTATGGTTTCTAACAATGGATTTCTTCCCAATTTAAAAGCAAAAAAAAAATTTTAAGTGCAAGTAAATCAGTTTATCTCTCTCTTAGCTTAGGCTCCTTTAGAAAGAAAGAATGAAACACAAGTTGAAAATTACAAATTCAATTAACATTATTTTAACACTATGTCTTTAACTGGTAAAATACCTTTTAAACTTCGCAAAGAGCAAGGCTAAAACCGTTTTTACAATGCAGTCACCATGGCTAGCAGGAACCAAATTTCTCTACGGGGTGATGAAAATGTTCTAAAACTGACTGTGGTGATAGTCCCAAAACTCTGTGAATATACTAAACACTATTGAATTGTATTCTTAAATGGTTGAATTATACGAGATATGAATTATATCAATAAAGCTGTTACCAAAAAAAAAAAGTAGCTCTGAATTTGATAAGGTACGTAAACTAAAGAATGATTATTTAGGTACAGAGGAAGGGAAA